TAGGAACTTAATTTGGAAAGAAGAATGTTGTGATTTATCGTGTCGAAGGCCTTAGTAAAATCCAGGAATACCCCCATCACGATATTACCATCATCAATTTTATTAATTAATTCATAGAAAAGATCTATTAACGCAAGCTTGGTACTCTATTTCCTGCGAAATCCATATTGGTGCTTATTGATAATGTTAAATTTGTTAAGAAAGGAAGATAATTGTTTGTGCAGAGTTTTTTTCAATAATTTTACTGATAACGGGTAAGATTGAGATGGGTCTGTAATTACCAGGCAAATAGGGTGAACCTTTTTTAAAAATAGGAGTAATTTTGGATATTTTTAGTTGGTCGGGGAACACACCAGACATAAAATGGCAAATCGTAAAATTTTGTTGGAAAGTAAAAAAAAATGCTTATGAGATAGTTAACATTTGTCATGACGATTTACGAGATGCGAAAGTAAGTAAAAATCAAAAATGGTGGCACAGACGGTTCTCTCGAATTTAAGAAGAGAAATTCCATATATTTTGCATCCTACACAAGTACAAACTAGGCTGTAAAAAATAAATCTCATATTTGTCATTGTCTTAGCCATATGTTACGTAACACCCCTAAAATAACATGTACGTTACTGTCCAGGCGCTAGAATAACTTAATTATAAAAACGCATTTCAAATACAAGGGAAGCTAAACATGTAGTTTTTAAATAGTTATTAATATATTAACTTCGAATTTATGGAATCAAATTACTATAATATTGCAAACAAATAATGATTTGGTAAGATGATGTACATCTCAACAACGTACTATTAAATTTCGAAGGGATTTTTTTTTTCAAACTGCTAGTGGGAAAGACAAAAAATTGGCTGAATATTAAAAGAGGTTGGGTTGGTAGAAAAAAAAGTTGGATATGTCCAAAACTGATTAGAGAGTCAAATAAAGGTATCGGTAATTGGTGTAAGTTGGTAAGAAAGACGTTAAGGTTGTATGAAAAGATAAATAAATTGAAAAAGAAAAGTCGCTAAAGGTAGTCGAAAAGACGCTGCAAAAAAAAAAGCTTTGGAAAATTATCTCATTAACTTTGTGGCTTTTCCGAAATCTGGAACAAATACGGATGTTGAACACTCTGTCCCAAATGACCATGATTTGATTGGAAACGCCATCGCCAAGCCATGCATTCTGTTGAAAGGTTAGGCTATGATCCTGGTTTATGGGGCGGAGTTACCAACTTGTGATCACGAATTACATCACTAGAATCCCCATATACGTTTGGGTATTGTTTTTATCATCTTTTAAGATATTAGAATTGACACGAATGGCGTTAACTTTGAACAACGGTCGTTGGGATGAAGCATCTGTTGTCATGGAAACATCTAGTGTTATTGATAGTGTTTTTCACATGGATTTCGAAGATATAATGTCGAAAAATATATCGGTGCTTTCCAAGTTCGCGGAATTCATGAACATCACGTAGAGGGCGACGTTCCCAGATACGAGGTGGTGAAATGAAGCTTTCCATTAACGAAAGCGTGAATGAAAAAAAGATATTTTACGAAACTAGATAATTCAGCTTACAGTAATCATATACTCCAGAGCTGATGATAATTCGTGAAAATGCAACATTCGGAGAGCAGCCGCAGTACAGGGACGGATGTATGTTTTTTTGTGAGGTACTTTCACAATGAAGTAACCATCGCGTTGTATTACGGGATATGCGTGAACAGATGGTTTTAATAGGGGCGGCTCACCTCTAAATCCGTCACTGGAAGTGTGATATCATTGGGTTTTTCATTTTTGGAAGTCAAATTAGATTTCCAGCTTCCATAATTCACCTTAGTCTTTTTGGCCAATATGGGTCCCAAATACAGTATCAGTCCATACGTTATATGTAGAAAACGCCCCCCCCCCACCGGGAACGATAACAGCTCTCGGACACTAGCCATTACATTACTAAAACAACCTCCGTGATTATACCAAACACAACAGATTCTAAGCACGAAAGGATGATTATCAGTCTCTTTTTAAACTAGCTTTCATGATTTTCATTTAAATTTATTGTTTGCGCTCACCTGAGATAAAAAAAATTTCGTACATTAATTATGTCACAGAAATAGAGCAGGATAAATAAAGTCCGATAATAAATTAAAAGTAGTGTTGAATTCATTCAGTTGGCACAAACCACATATTTCTCTTATTAAGAGAATACAATTAAATATATCGTATGAAACACGACACGTTTGAAATGTATTCTCTAAGCACGTTGATTACGATTGCTCGTAGAGGGCGTTAACTGGCCACGTGAATTTAATAATATACTGTTCCATTATCACGAAGTACAATTGTATGGCGGAATAAGAGAAAGAATTGTGTTTTTCTTGTTTTGATTGACGATCACGGTCAGAAGTAAACAACAAGTTCACTAATATCACATGAGAATCACTAGTTGATGTGTTTTTTTTTCAAATTTGAAATAAGTAAATAAACCACTGATAAAATATTTGACCTAGCAATCACTATCGATTTATTGTGATATGCCTCGTCTGTGGATTAATCGAATACGTACGTGTTCGTATCTGCCAAGTGAACAACGCATGTGCTAATTCCCCGCCACGTGTAACGTGTTACTAGTAACGCGGTGCTTGATGACTGCTTTAAATTGTGTTGCTATAGTCTTCCATATTCTCGACAAATGTCACGACAATAAAACACATTGATGCATACTAATGCGTATATCAAATCACGGTACTTGATTATGTTTTAAACATACTGAAATATGATGGTTTCCTATACCCGATAATGTTTTGTAGCGCCACCAACGTTCAGTAAACGTTTTTACTCCACTGTTGCCAAAGACGATGATCATCGATCATGGTGTTGCCGCTTAGTTGAGATCATGAAGAACTAACATTTGAGAATCTTCAATTACAACATGGGCTCCAATATCCACGAAAACTGTTTACTTCCGTGATATATTTGTCTGAATAATGTAAGCACATTTCTGCGTTCATTTAAGTGTGGGTACTGCAGTGTTTTTTTTTTTCAAGAGCTCCCTCAACGCTCATCAGTGTACATATATGAATAGTAATTTAAAGTAGACTGATGCTTTGTTGACGTCATCGCAGCACATCTTGTTATGTTTCAGTCTCCGCATGTGACCGTATGAACCCAAAATTTGGGTAACAGTAAAATATTATTTGAAAACTCGGACAAATACATTCTGACTCTACCTTTTGTTGTGCGTTATATACAGAGAGAGGGCGCGATTCCCACACCTTTACGCCGCCCCGGGCGTTCATGTTGTATATGGCATCTAACGCCTACGCTCGAACAGATTTTTGTCTGAATCAACTTGGTTATTTTTATTTTTATGGGAACTTATTTGAAAAGTTGCCGTTTGTTTATTCCATAAGTGATATACTCGTAAACCAAAAGAATATATATATATATATATATACATATATATTTCTTAGGGAATTATTAACTAATATAACAATTGTTATGCGGCGATTAATGTCGTGCATTTTCTTACAGGCTCATAGGAATGCAATGGCATCTTTCTGAAACTGTAATTATATATAATTGTGAGGCTACTTTAATCCAAAAATCCCATTTTCTAAGGAAAAGCACCAAAAATCACGAACACGAAAATAGGTAAAACATCGCAGATTATAAATAAAAATATAAAAGACCCCACAGACAAAATAACATTACATCGGAATTTTATTACACCATAATATGATACAACCTGGTATTTTTACATCGGGTATTTTTAAATAACATGCAGCTAGTTAGTGATTTTACAATTATTACAAATATCTCGTACATCCAATAGTACACAATGACGTGGCGACTCAGCGTAAAAAATATGCATTGCATAATGTAACACAGTGGGAAAATGTTTAATTTGTTTGTTAAACATTATTATGTATAGATACGACGATGCAAGATGATAAATTAAACGTCTTGTCAACATTTTAGTCTTGTCCATGGTCGTCGTTATTTAGTTTTATATATATATATATATATATATATATATATATATATATATATATATATATATATATATATATATATATATATATTTAAATCTCTGATTTCTCTGAGCAATGTTTGCCCATCCTTTTCATAGTGAGTAAAATGATAATAAGTTAAAAAAAAAAAAAAAGCAAAATGTAAATTCCGAGGCGCCGTGAATCACCGAGCTTTTCAAACGCAGGGGGCGTTAGTTGACTGCTCCATTGCAGCCCTGCCCGGTAGAATGTAGAATAAAAAAAACACATACAAATATCATGTATAGTCCTTGTTGTTGAGAATTTATCGAATAGTAGCATCTAATGCGGTGTATTTTTTTTTCAATGATAAAGCGACTGAGCATATATCACAATGCATTCACAAACAGCCGATGCAGATCGACATCGCCGGTACTCTGTGTAAAAGCAATTTACTTGCTCGCTTAATACGGTCGAAGGTTTAAAAACTCAATTTAAAGATGGCCACAGGGCCGGCTGGCTGGCTACTTGTGCGCTGACCTGTATGTGTTATCTCATCTCCAATCACAGTCATATATCTCACTCTTCCCAATAACAACACATGTCAGAACTCAACGAAACGAAGCATAATATACAAAAACGCTCTACGAATAAATTATCACATATAATTTCTCGTTATTATTGCATAGATAGGTAAGATTTTTTTAAATTATTTAATTCAGTGACTAAACATGCACGGAACATCGTGCCGGGATTACAAATGCTCCATGTAACACGATAGCAGTATTTTGTTTATTTAAATAAAATCGCTTCACGTTGTGTTACCGCTATCGAATGGCTTTAGAAATTAGGCATGGCAAAGCGCCATCTATGGCCCATCGCTTGTTTCCTTAATATATATGTACACCATGCGACGTGCAGACGACATCACGTGACACCACAATGACGACGGAAGTGCTGCTGTACTGGCATTCACCATGGACACTGTCAAGTTCAAGCTGGAACTTTGAACTCCGAGTTACGTAGTGTAATTACTAATTGTAGAAATCAGAATGTTTCCAGCGCTGTAATGAGTGCGACTACAAGGTTCGTGTTTGATGTAGCAGCAACACAGTCGTTAGGTACCTCAACATTCTGTGAATTATTATTAATTATTAATTTTTTGGTCAATATTATCCCATGATTCGGCTCTCTAAAAGTTAAATCATCAAACCACTAATATTTCAATGAGTCAGACATTGTGACTGCGATCTACCGCTTTTGCTCACCCCGTCGGAAACAGCATGGAAGCCAAAATGTCACATTTCGTTGGCGCCTCATTTTTTATCAAATATTATGGTTAAACCGTATATTCTACAAACAAAAAACTCTTACTGCATTACACACGTGACAACATAAATACAGTGAAATGTATTCCAATCTTCAGGTAATACCGCTATAGTTTGTTTAACACATTCGCCTTTTGCCATGCATTCTGGCTTTTCATATCGTCGTCTGCCGCTCGCAGCCTAGATAAATTGCCGATAAATCCGCCACGTCCGTGCCTTCGAACAGGATATCGTCAAATGATTCCCGCGTGTCCGATGTGCTACTTGCTATCCTCAACGCTACGTCTGTCAACAAAGCAGACAACGAATGTTTTAAACGTGGCCAAAACATTCATTCAAAATGTCAGTTAAATACATTTACTGAACGTCGTTTCGTCTAATATTACAAGTGCGCCCTCTGTTGTCTTCTGTCACGGATCGCAACATCGGAACGCCCACCACAAACCACTTTTAACGTAAGAAAATTCTCTCCGTATTTATTTCAACTGTGGACTGTTTCGGCAGCTACACAACTCAATGTAATCTTGTTTTTGATATATAAATATATGTAAAATGACAATCAATTACGAATGTTCGGTTACAAATGTCGCGGGTCACAGACTTGTGATCATCAGTGATATTGAAGATGAGAGGTCTATTTCTTGTCTGTTCTGATTTTCTTGATTCTGATTCGCAATTCTCGTGTCTAAGTCAGTAAAATTACCTGATGAGCTCGTGGCTGGAGTTCGAGTGTATTCCCTACCATTCATAGTACTTTGTGACCGAGTTCCAACTTTGGTCGCCTGTCGGACATTTTTGTGTGGCTGAAACACCACAATATAAACCTTTGGGACGAAAAGCAGCACCAGTACAACAGACGCACTCATGCTGACGGTAAAACTCAGGCTTGTCATTTGGATCTAGATGCAGAGAAACAGAAATATATTATATTGTAAATTGAGTGGATTATTATAATTTAATTATTCGTAACATTTTATTATTATATTATACAAGTATTAATTAGCTGACAATTCATTGCATGTGCTCAATTACAAATAATCTCCCTATCCAATTTATGAAAGTGATTGTTCGGTATCCTCTCGCAGTGACGCACTCTGTCATGAAGTGCATTTGTGAATAAGTAGTAACATTGACGTCTGACTAATATCTATTGTTGAAGTGTATACCACAATCTGTGACAGACAATTTCAATATATGAAGATATCACAGCATGATTAGATTGTGATTTTAAAAGCCATTTTATAGCAAAAATTTAGTTAGCCAGTGATCGCAATCTATCTCACGAACGGCCCTTATTCTATGAATAAATCAATTACATGGCAATCATTCAAACGATACTCCGGAGGGAGGGGGTGCTCTTCTATAAGTACATTGCAAATCTCCGAACGATAACTCTACTGAAACACTTGGTAATTGCGCTCAGCAATACGTTGAGAGGATTGAGTGATCGGTTGCGTTAATAATATTATTCCTGGTACGCATTTAATATGCAAAACACATATTCCTTAGTAAAATACATTAATGATGGGGAACAATCAACCAAACAGATTTAATCGGTTTTTATAGCCTGGTTTATGAAGACCTTAACCAGGCACTTAATCCTATTATTTGAAATGTTCGTAATTTATGGCTAATTTTATCCAAAATAGATCACAGAATCCCGAGTTAAGCACTCTTGTATGAGTCCGCCTTCCAATTATTTATAAGTCAGAATACACGACGGTGAAGAGTATTACATAAGTAGCATTGCACATGGCCGACGACAGACACAAGAGCATCGAGTAGACTTTTAGTTAAGTATTACAGCAAAACTTATGATTAACATGAACTAATTGTTCTCTAATTGGGCCCAGTCTGTGAGCCCTGCACCAACGCCACTTAAATGATCCATGAAATAAAGCTGGTTAAGCGACACATTACAAATAATGAACGAACACACTACATATAAAAAATTAAAAAAATTAAAAAATTATAAAACCGTGACCTACCTTTGGGTCTTTGTCGGATGTTCCAAAGTAAATACAAAGAAACGCAAGCCACACTATGCACGTGGTGTACATTGTAAACCCAATAAACTTCGCTTCGTTAAAGTTTTCTGGGATTTTTCGAGTCTTAAATGCATAGACAGTGCATAACACGATGAGCAGCATGTTGTACAATAATGACGTCATTAACGTCGAGTCGCTAGTAGCGCATCGCAACACAGCACGATCACGCGATATATATTCCACCCTTGTCTGCGGGGGGTCCAGTACCAACCACACTGTCACTCCAAGTACTTGAAGCGATATCAGCGCAACACATATAACTATTTGCGACTTGGGACTCGTGTATTTCGGACGAATTGCGCTTTTTATTCCCTGGTTGAAAATTCGTGATATTCTATTAGTCTTTGTTAAGAGGGCCGCATAGCAGGTGACGAGACACAATCCAAGCCCAAGACGTTCCATGCAACACTTCGTTGGGGTGGGTTTGGTCATTATAACGAACGTCATGCCATAGCAGATAAAAATTCCAAAGAGCAGAACAAACATCAACTCCCTCCCGGATGCCCGGATGAGAGGAGTGTTATTATATGCGATAAATATTGCGATGATGAACACTTCGAAAATGATTCCCGTAAGCGCAAACGCACCCGTGGCGATTGCCCACGCAGAAGTCCACGTTGTGTATTCTTGTGGTATTTCATAGCATCCAGTTTTTGTGTCATTCGGCCAAAATCCTGGCCCACAGTCTTCGCACGTAGCATGGTCTGGGAGATATTCGTATTCAGCGCACTTTGTGCACACCCAGCAACATTTCTCGCCCACGTTTCTCTTCATCGCCATCCCCGAAGGACACGGATGCGAACAGACGGAATCTGGCGGTTTCTGACCCCATATTGTTTTAGATATATCAAGATCTAAGACTTCTTCCCATTCACCGATCGGCAAATAAGTCCAAGTGTTGTTGACCAACTGGAATTGAAATATATTGTATCGTCCTGGGGCGTCGCCGTTATCATTGAAACGAATCTCCGTACCAGCGCTCCCTGCGGGAAAACAACGTAAACAATGACGATGTATGCTACCGGGTTACGGTGTTGAATATCTAAGAGATAGGATGTCTTTCATTATAAATAAGAAATGTATTTGAAATGCAACGATTGTCTGGAACTCTTCGATCTTCTATAATTGAGAAAGTCGATACTGTTACTGACATACACATGGGCACACATTCAAATAAAGCAACATGCGCACTGTGGGATGGGAGTGTAGACAGGGTCAATACAGTTGTTTTAATATACACTTTATTCGAGAATGAGTCGCATAAATGAGAATTTTTGCTTTAATTATTACTCTCCCTAGTTACAGGGTTAACTCCCAAAACAATCTTCATATTTTTAATAGTGTTCGATAATTGTGTATTTTGATTCTGAAGTAGGTTAGAAACAACTATGAAGATGTGAATGTTTTGTTTTAAAGTTTTAGTTGACATTACCTGTAAATCGGGCATTTCGCACGTAACTCAGTAGATCCAGACCCTGTACAGGTTTCATCGCATCACATAGCTCTGCGGAGTCTGGACACCTGTCTTCTTTCATCTTTTGTAACGCATAAGCAAAACTCAGAACAGCATCTACCACAAATTGTACTAATCCCTCCTGCCGGTAGCCCGTTAAAGAAGAAATTTGTTCGTGTCCTTTATGAAAAAAAAAACACTAATTCATGAGCATGTGAATATAAGTATTCGAGTAAAGAAGAATAACGCTTTAATCTTTAGGTTAATGAACAGGGCACCTATTCCTTTTGTTACTGAAATCAATACGGTGGCCTATAACCACATTCGCCGCAACTTTTCAATGTGTGTTTTGGTGTTGGTATAGATTTCAACACGTCCGACTACATCACAGATATATCGAGCTGGGGGATTCATTATACTCTGTATTGGGCATATCCCATCGGTTAGGAGGTTGATGTCACTCTGCCAAAACCAACCAGAGCAACATGTCGCGATGACACGGTGGTCTTATATGTATAATTATTTATTACAAGGATATGTTACTCGAGGGACGATCTAAAACCATACCGAAGGAAGGTTTGGTTGTTAATAAGATATGTTCCCATCGAGGGACCTAGGCGCCAGGTAAAACAGAATCAGAAGCATGTGTGTACATCACATTTAATCTCCACCTGTAAAACAGTAATTACAATGAAATACGCATACTGCGCGAATCTGATAATAAATTGGTTTACGTTTTTGTCAATGTAATGATTACTTATTCATAATTCTATATTAAATTTAACGTTTCCTTGGTTAATAATGACTACATCTTATGGGAACATTAATATGTATGTATTGGCATAACTGATGTTGTGTTACAGTCACCATGAACACTTGAGTGACATATCAATTCAAAGCTGAGAAAATGTGAATATTTCTAATCAAGGACTGTCGATATTGCAAGGATGTTGCCAAACGACCATGCGTATAAATAGCATGATGCACTTGTAGCAGCAGCGGGTGAAATATCATTCGGGCCCACCCACCCCAAAAAAAACAAAACAAAAGAAATTCGTGCTAAATCACATCGCGTCATCCTTTCAGACGATGGGCTATACTCGTATATTTCCATGGCAACATCACGCGCACATTACATGTCATTAGCTATACATATCTCGCATCTGACAAAGTCTGGTAAGCCCTCATTGAATGTTTCTCAAATCGCTCGTACAGAGATGCGCAAGTGCAAATAAAGGAAAGAGAGCAAGGAAATGTCGAGACTCGCATTTGCCTTTTTAGGTAATTTCCATTCAATGCACACAATACGTAGACATATTCGGTCTGTCTAATCTCCTCAAAGCGTGAGGAATCAATAGCGACCGCAAATTCTTCTTTAGCTTTTAAGTCCGGCTACGTTAATAGAATCCAATATCTTTCATATATACCAGTGTTTGTATGAAGACGACGAAGGAATCATTCGGTCGTTTTGTTTACGTTTGATTGAATGCAAACTCTCTCACTGGTCGTAAAAAAATGAAACTAATGTCAAATACATATACTGCGTTCCTTTTATTGAAACGTTTTATTTAAGTATCTGTGGCCATTCTATGCATACTGACGAGACTCGGCAATTACCCAGGGTAATCTCGGACAGCTGAAGATGCATCTTGACAAATTATCATCGATATTCTACTGTCAACGTCTCTCGTATAAATGGTTTGCATAATCGATAAACGTCTTACGATCTACCTTGCGTTTTCCCGATATCATTGGAGAAATAGTGATTGTGTTTCCGGAGTATGGCGTTAATAGTCACGCATTCCAAGGACCGTGCAATTTCAGAACCCCTATGGCGTATTCAATAGCCGTCCTTACGCTATGTCCTCGTTCTGCCAATCGTGTGTTTCTCTTATTTCAATTAAACATCTCGATTATAATAGAAGCAGTATACCATTCAAAATCTGCAGCACATCATCCTTTATTTACGCTCGGTTTAGATAATTAAATGCGGCTGTAAATTGGCCACGTACTAAAACTAACTGAAATAGAACTGCCAGTCTTACCTGTACAAATGACGTCTGCATTTGCAGCCACGGATTCGTTGAATTTACATTTGAAAAAACTCTCCCAGAATTCCTTGAACCAAGGATTGCGGGTGTTGTTAGTCGGGTTAAGTGCCTGAAAATACTTGTCGAAACCTGTGAGCAGAATGATAAATATGTCAGTGCATGTCACGGATATGTTTCGTGCCCGTTATCACGGAGCAGACGTTTGATACTCGAAGTCTGGAACAAATCTTTGTAATTACCTAGGGAGTTTGGAGTGCCATTTACGTCGATTAGAGTGGCTACATTCTACATGGTGGCGATAAGTCGGAGACAAATGCAAATTTGAAAGTATCGAGTGCGACACAACCAATAAGCTGGAATTTCGTTAGGGCAGTAGAACACCAGTGGATCTGTCTGTGTGTGTGTATGTTATTTTATAGGCATGTTTAGCAACTTAGTGTCTTTTACGTGCACGTACGACTGGGAGATTGAAATCTCGAAATTTTATCTTAATATAAGTTCTTAAAAAAATAACACACAGCACTAAAAACTGTTATCTGCTAGTAATTGGCAGACAATTCACCAGGCACCGTGAAGTTACCTGTTATGTAATGCGAATTAGTCGCGTCGTACGTATGAGCTACGGGGCTTGGGAAAAGATATTACGACCAGTTCTGTGAATATATCGACGACCGAACCGAATATCAATTCAATCAACGCAAACATTCCCTTTGTTTATCAGAGCAACGTAGTCACCGCTGGATAGAAAACAAAACGCACCGCTATAATAAAAGTACCGACCACATGTCACCCAATTAACTGATCAGTGCATAAGGGGTAACTTTAACGCCCTACTTCTATATTTACGATTGTCGGTAACGTCAGTATCTGTGCCGTACATTTTAATTAATAAACTATTAAGCACCGTTATATGGCTGCATTTAATGGGCTAGCACGGCCATCAGAATACACCGTGAAATACGTACACGGGCAATCGCACTCGACCCCCACGTAACTTTGAACATATACAAATAACGGGTAATGAGCGAACAACTGACATTTTATGTCACCACTTACTAGTGAAATTAAATGTATATTTGTATAGGTATTTTGTATTGTGTCAACTACAATGGTTCGGTTAAACGTGGAGATAAAATCCTTTTTAGGGATTAAACGATCTCTATTTACAAGGTCATACACGTGACGGTTTTATGCTAATAACTACCCTACACTACGCATCGAGACGTGATTTATGTTTACGTTTCTCATATACGTTTCTCATATACGATTTGTTACATTTGTGTGTATGGTTTTTCTTCAATTTGTCTGTTAACGGTGATTATTTTTTAGATCACGCTTTTACGTGAGGTCGACCTTTGCATCTCTATATTGTCACTAAAACAAGTTTGAAAGGCAAGGAGCAATGCCATCCCCTTGATAGACATGTTTAACGATACATGTTATTTCGATCGGTAACACTGGCACAATTTTAGCAATCACGTAAGATATAGTACAGAAGTGATGACAATTACGAAAATTACGAAAGCAACTAGACCGATAAATGTATATATAGAAAATAAAAGTAGATAATGGTAGTCCATCGCAACAATGATATATATGCGTTTCATGATGCAATATCACTTCCATCAGTAGTGCCCGAAGTACTACAATTACCTACCCCCAATGTATACATATGTACATTTAATAATTACCAATTGGAAGTATTATTTGGGTTGTATTTATGAATACTATCAGTCTGTAACCTTTTCATATTAGAGAAAAATTAAATTATATAAAGTGACACGTCATGCTATTCAAATATATTTTACGTATCAATACGTATATATGTCTTGTAAGAAACAGTGAAATAAGAACAGAAAACGTGAAAACTGGCTACATATACACTGGCTGTGTTTATTTAATTTCAAGTACGAGGCAAGGTCAACATAATTACTTCTTCAACAAATCATTTTCCAGTTTTCACCATACTTATGTTGACAATAGCCCTACGGAAGCACACCAAGGGCACACCTGCTTTACCGCTTAAAATAACTCCCTCTCTCAACTTTCTGGCTAGGTGCTTTGAAGTTTGCCATGGGAAGTTAGGTCTAATAATACAGTTGTTTGTCTCTCATTATTGCAACAGATCACCAGCATAAAACGTTAGCCCGCACTAAGAAAATGTTCGCGAACGCTACGAGTAAGTACTTGCTAAATCTTACCCGTTTTAAAACCAGGTCTAGATCTATAGCACGGACTACGAGATGTGCACGAACGTATCGTATACCTGTAAACACGATTAGTTTTGTTAAAATAACAATATTTTCTTTGGTATTTTAGTCACGTGTTAACAAAGCCGGAGACGCCTATATTTTCAATTGAGAGAGATATTGGAGAAAGCATAAATTTAGAGCTTTTGTATTTAACGGGTTGTTTGAATTAATATTTTCATTCAATTTGGAATCACTTTAAACATGTATTATCGCATTATCGTAATAGGATTTAAAGTTCCGTTATTCTAGACATTGTTAACTTTCAAAAAATAAATAAACGACCATTAAAACCGATTTCCTCCATTCTGTATGTACTCGTGAAACAAACCTTACCTGATAAAGCTGTTTGCTTGGGTAAAATTGTTATAGCGCCCTCTGCCACTCTTTCCTGATCTTCTACGGGGGAGTCCTTGGTCCCCCAACTATCACTGGCGATCCAAATGAAGTGACCCGTCATATTATTGCGTTCAGTGGCCTGTAGCAAACGTTGAAGATCATCCTCGTTGACGAATGTTATAACGCCTCTCGCCTGTGTTTTCTCGAATAGATACTCCACGATACGATCAAAGGAACTATCTAACGAATCCATATAAATCTTCTCCGATTTGGCAATGCAGATACCTTAGACACCGAGACAAAAAAAAACCTCACACATTATTACATATTACATATGTCCGCTTATATATCATTGATGCAATGAAACCATACGTGGGCGACTAGGTGAGTTATGCTCTGCTGGATTTAACACTATCCCATAAACATTTAGGCATGTATTACGGGTTAATGGAGGACTCCATGCATTACGTTATATGCAGCTCATCCAGCTCTAAATTCCCTATGTACGCTAAATTATGGCAGCTATTGGTGTACGTCACTGGCGTGCGTTATACTGAGGTATTGCGCATACACCGCAAAGTCATAGGGCAAGGTAGGGTGAACGTGTTTAACGTGTGGGACAGATATGAACATGTACTCACACTATATGGTGATATCACCTGATCATTTGAGGCGAGCACTACGTCGTACAATCACACAATATGTAGATACAATTTTACAGGTTTATCAGATCTAACAGACATACTTCAATACAGTTCTGACGCATGGGGTGATGTACGACCCAGAGGCGACAGCACGAAACTGCGCATGGGTGGGCGAGATCTGCTGACCAGCTTTGTGCCGAAGGCGCTACGATGCTCCCCTTAATAATTTTGAAATACAGACCCTCTGAAAAGCTGTTTCCTGCATTTTGAGGGGCACATTTTGCTGACACAAAGGGTTTCAGCTTGATTTTGACAGAACGACGCCCCCGCCCCGTCCCTCTCCCCCCCCCCCTGTGCCGCCACCACTGCCACCCAACCCCACCATCCTCGCAGAGTAATTAGTCACTATGGCCTTATCGCTGTCGTTTCAATGTGATTGCAGGTACCCTGATTACATGAGCTCTATATTGCGGCGTGGTTGAGTGGTTCAAGTTCAATGACTTCAATTATGCAAAGTAATCACGACGAGAGATAATATACGGCTTCCATTTATTCTAATTGATTATCGCGCCAATCTATGACCTTTTTAAAGCACCTTTTTTCATTCTGCGCCCATTATTTGACAAGGTCATTATTAACTAGAACATCGACGTGAACCGTTACAGTTTAATCTTCTTAGTGATATCGTTTTTTTTTGTTCAAGTTCACATAGACTGCCAAGTTGAACGATTTAACATATGCCATGATTCATTGCACAGTTTTAAATTACATTTTGTGTCAACTACAACTGACATTAGAATTGTTGTGACGATACGCAGAAAAAAACAAATGTATGTGTCTCAAGGCTTACGATTACTCTATTCAGTGCTGTTATTTATCTCAAGAATATCGGTTACTTCATTGAGTGTTGTTAGTCATCTCTCCGCACCACTGGATTAATAATCTTATTTATCGCGCGTGTACAAAAGTTATCGTGGTCGTAATCACCAGATCCCACAGTACTAACCCGACCCTAGAAGGTATAAGCAATGAATTGGTATAGACTTAGCATATTAAGTATCTAATATACATGTTAATAAACTCGCGGCTGTTCATCAACAATACGTGTACGACGATTCCCAGTTTGCAAGGCTTGCGGGAGTCTGTTCAAATTACGTCTCTAAAGACAAGCTTATGTTCTCGGTACACAGATGCCCTGAAATGTCACGCATCATTACGGAACCAATAAGAACTCTGGGGAGGTTAGCTTATAGTACACGACTACTTTTATTTTGTATCCTATGCGAAGTACGTTTCAGCCCATGGTACATGCAGTCGTCCAAGACGTTACATTTTCTGTTTAGATACGCCCTCATCTTGACAGAAATACTGGTTGTCATTGTCCCTTGTACTTGAACATGTTCATGAGCGTTTTTTTCATGCGTTGTCTAAAGAGTAGCTTATAATGGGAAGGGTTCCACTACACATATTTACAGCGACACAAATTTATCATTTAAATAATAGTTAGGTAGCTGCAAATAGTGCCAATGAAAAGATCAAATTTGTTTTAAATAATAATTCAAATTCAGCTACGAGACGATCACCGAGTTGTGGAACTACTGGCTGATGTTCTGGAGGCGGTTGTCTAGCTCTTCTATCGACGTGTCATTTACATTTTATACATGCCTGTCAACGTCTTTATGTTACCATAATATGTCTACCAACAACTCTCCAAACGTCATTACACTATTAAAGTTATTTGTCCTGATCTATTTACTGAAAACGATTCTTTAATAAATGAGTGGGCGTATATCAGTTCATATTTCATTCATATTGATTGTATGCCAATTCTACGTGTCTGGATTTCGATTCAACGGTTGCATTGTGTCATTCAGAGGCACAAGTTAGATGAATACAAACTAATGATATTGACAGTCGTCAATCAGTTAATCTAGTTATCAGATGTAACACACATTTCCATCTGCGGATAAACCACGCCGCGTAAATCTAGAATAGAGTGTGAAATTGGGTCGACAACGCGGTGAAATGAAATTCTAAAAAGCAGAAATTACAACGTAGGCTGGTCTCATTTCGTTTCTAAGATAGTAAATTACAAGCTGTCTCTTCTCATACCCCCAATAACTCGCGGCGTATTTAGACCTAATTTCGCGGTAAATTGACCACGAAAACAGATTTTGAGTCACACCCGTCGAAGTAATTAGTTCATCCACGGCGCTAAGTAATTTGTCATTTAGGATATGTTAATTTAATGGAATCAATCAAAACATACGTGCAATACCACACACGTGGATAAAACAAGCACTTATTCATGTATAAGTTAAACTTGTGATTAACGTCACGTTGGCTACACGCAGCGCACAGTCACGTGAAACGCGAGACTGTAGTTATGCGAACCATGGTAATGCATAATGAGTGAACATACCATCACGTTCGTCGATTAGCCTTTAGAGTAATGTTAGAGATTACTAAACACATTGAATGTTTGCATTATTTTTTTGTTGAAAAACTATTACATGAAACCTGGACTCACAATGGCATTACGAATCGAGTTTCTTGAGGAATGCCTCCTAGAAAACAACACAAAAACACTGAGAGAAGTAAATATTATTTTAAAACTATATCATATACGTGTTTCAAAAAAAATACAGGTAAATTGCGTTTTATTGTATTAAAAAAGAAAGTAATGTGTAATTTCAGAGGCATGAAATTTTGGTCTAATTATGCATGAAACGTACTTAACACAGTCACATATTGGTTTGAGGTTTCGTCCAGGCAATGCAAAATTTCCAACCATTACATAAACAGGTTCTTCTATTTTATTGAACTTTATGTATGTGGTATTTACGATGACATTGGCATTGAACAGTATATATGTCCCACCATAATTGAATAAGTGTGATGGTTTAACAGCGTTTGCTTCAAAGTACGTGGCACGATTTTCGCAACGGGATAGAGGTATACTTTGTGATTGTATGTGGGAACACATTACCATACGCCTAGCCTATGTTAATTTAGAATTACGTATCGAAACGATTGTATGGAACTGTATACTTATGTTCAATAACATATTCAATAACTTAACATAACGTAACATAAATGAACAAAAATAAACATTTTTTGATCATTTATGTTATGTTTTGTTTTTTATTGAATCCACTTAATATATTTTAAGTTTCTGTATAAGACATCACACATTTTATTTTCAAAGTATTTTCTTTTATGTAACTTGAAATTTTCGGGGTTGTCAACAATAATCCTGAATTGCGTGCATACATACACGTATTAGTGTTATATCGATGCAATTGACAATACATTACATCACATGTTAATAAAAACACACATAATATATCGACCTTCGCTGATATGAAACGACCAAAATGTAAAAATGGAATATATGGTCAGAAATTTATATAAAATTTGAAAATGAACAATTAATCATTAATCCGTTTTGTGAAAATATATCTTCAACTAATACGATATTTAGAGCATTATATAAAATACAGGTTATTATTAGGAAACTTGGTGGTCTCCCGATAAGTAAGCCTTTTAAGTTATTATATGCTTCAGTTGTCCCAGTAATTTGTTATGGGGCCAAAATATAGGGTTATGGGGTACTCCATAATTGTGGAGAGGGTGCAATTGATTTTTTGTTTTTGTAGATTTTTATTAGGGGTTAACTCTAGTGTAAATACTAGTACTTTTAGGTGAATGTAGATTTCATGCGGAGAGGGTGCAACTTTTTTTTTTGTAGATTTTTATTAGGGGTTAACTCTAGTGTGAATACTGAAGTGCTTTTAGGTGAATGTGGATTTCCTGTTGAGAGGATGCAATTTATTTTTTGTAGATTTTATCAGGGGTTAATTCTAGTGTAAATACTAGTACTTTTAGGTGAATGTGGATTTCTTGCGGAGAGGGTGCAATTTTTTTTTGTAGATTTTTATTAGGGGTTAATGTAATGTAATTTAGATACTGAAGTGCTTTTAGGCGAATGCGGGAGATAAGCCATTTTCTGCACTTTCATGAAACGTTGCATTTCAAACTGGTTAAAAGTTTTATAAATGGATATGCACCGGTATCCTAGGGCCTGTTATAGATAGTTAAAAGATTGGACTCGGCTGGGGAGGGGGGAGGGGGGTTAAGTGGGTAACAAAGATCAGCGAGTTATTATATCGATATGGTTTTGGAATTGTATGGTTTGAACAACATGTGTGAGACAGCAAAGTTTTCTTAGGTTTATTTCACCAAAAGATAGGTAATTGTTTTCGTCAAGAATGATCCGTAGCGATAGACTAATCGGGTAGATAGCGTTGTTATGTTAATGTTAAATCTTTGTTAGAGCCAAGATTGTATTTATTATGTATTATGATCTCGAAATTTAAATTTGCTCTGTCAAGACTTCGGTGTTCAAGTCATACATTGGCTGTAGAGATAATTTCTCTTCGGTTGAAAATTTGTCTTTATTGTCAAAGTATAAGGAAGATAGATTGTTGAGAATGAATGCCAAATAAATTCTATTCTCGCCGTTTCAGGGTCTATCTATGCAATGTAAAATGTGTTGCTTTTTTAAAATCACTTGAAACCCAGAAACCCAATAAAATATTCCAGTATAAGTAAACAATTGTTTTCAAAATCCGTGTCAAA